TCGATCCTGAGAAATTGCAGGCGGTTATATCGCCCCCCCGAACTACTCTTGAATATCATCCCGCGCTCGGTGTGCACCCTCCCTCCTCCCGCCGGAAGTGAAATTAAACCAATAGCCACATTTGCGAGCGCGGTGTCGCATTGCGCAATTCCGACAGGAGGAACGAAAAAAGGAGTACGGCAAAACGGAAAACCATAGAATCCACGGTTTCTCCTCGCTACACCCCGCCGCGTCCTCCGTTCGGGAGTCAGGAATATCGGAATTTCGCGCAGCGATCGTGCGAATGTGTCCCGGGGACCCCAGAAGAAGTCGTTCTGGGATGGACACGCGGCCGGGTAATGGAAGATGTGATAATTTAGTATGCACGGTCGGAGTTTATTTGAATTTTATTGGCGAACTCGCTGTCACGTGGACGTAGGAGAGTGGCGGCGGCGATGCCGCAGGGGGGTTCCTTTTTCGTTTTATCGGATCGGGGACGAGACGACGCTCCTCCCGTTTTCCCGAGGGGACACTTCCGTCCGACCAATATCGCTCCTCTTCCTCCGTCGCTCGGGCCTTCTCGCTCCCGGCCCCCGTCTCTACCCCTTCCACCCTCTTACCTCTTTATCCCTCTCTTCTCCTCCCTCTCTCTCTCTCTCTCTCTCTCTCTCCATCTTTTACTCTCTCTCCTGGGGCGCTTCCAATATCTTTCTAAGTTCTCGGAGCCGGCCATGAATAAACTATTCCCCGACTTTGAATATCTGAGCGTTTTGCGCGGGAATGGGACCGCCATCGAGGGACCGACCACAGAAAAGACGGGAATGGGTGATATCGATTGATCGACATCGCTCGTGGGAGGAGGAAACGTCGTAGTTGAAAGTGCGATCCTTCAATTTTTGGAAAACGGTTATATTCTTAAGAGAAAAAAAAAAAGGAAAAATGCTGTTTTTGCTTCAATTCAATGTAACGTTTAAAATTTTCCGACAATTGGAAGAGATTGATAACTTCAACAGCTCTCGCTGGTTGTGCGTTAATGCATTATGCAACACGTGAGATTCCTCTGGCCGATATTATTTCAACATTACTTTACATAATCTGTATCAATATTTCCTTAATCGATAAAAACAGAAGAAAATTAAAATGTATCGTATATATTTATTTCTTTAATCGATAAAAACAGAAAAAAAATTAAAATGTGTCGTATATTTAATTTATTTTTGGAGGTATATCTCTTCATGTTATTATTAAGTCAAAGATATTTTAATCATCCCGATTATACATGGAACTTGTGCGTCGACGATACAATCTAATCTCTGAAGATTTCGCGGACAAAAGCGCTGAGTTCATTAGCACATTAGCGAAATGTATTCTTTACGGTTCGCGTCGATCATCAAGCGCGAACGGCGTCGTTAATATACCCGACGGGATTCTTTATTCCTGATCGCGATAGCGGGGCGATTAATTTTTCGTGCCGTCGAGGATGATGAAATCAAGCAGTCAGCATAATGAGTAGCGTTGTCTGCCGCGCAATTCATCGGATGTCGCGGGAGTAAGGGACGCGGGGGTGGCGAAGGACGGCGGGGTTATTAATATTCAGAACGAGAAGCGGGAGTCGAGAGCAGTGCCGAGTGACAAATACCTAGAGCCCCGTCCCAACCCCGGCACGGCTCAACTCTGTAATTAACGCTAATCTCCAGGCTGGTTCTGCGACACCGTACCACCCACTTCGTCTTCTCTCCTATCTCTCCTGTACTTACGGGACGGAGGGTGGCTTTAAGCAGGAGATGGCTCTTCTCTCGCCAGTCGATTCTCAGACGAGAGAACGTCGATGTTTTCCTGCTAAAATATAAACTCCGGCGGAATTTTATGTTTTCCTTTATTTACCGTTTTTTTTTTTACATTTCATTGAAAATTCAATGATGTTTTGAAATGAGGTAAATGGACTATTGCGGTTACCAACAAACCGCTAGAAAATGCATATACTATATGTAGATCTCGTACGAAACCTCTGGAAAAGTCGGGAAAACTACTTCATTGTTTGCACATTCCTCCTTCCAGTACAGCGAAAAAAATGCCGTATGGTCGCGGCCGTCTCGTAGCGGTTCCTGAATATTTTTGTGAACATTACCACCCCGCTGTTCATTCGTCATGGGTGGTACGCATTTAAATTTACAAAACTGTATACTGTATTGCTAACTGCATATGTGAACGCATAAATTTCTTTCGCGGAGCTCATAGAACTTTCGGTGAAATTTTTCAGTATACGCGTAAACTTTAAGTTGTAAATTGTGACGATAAAAAAGAGACAAAATAATGACGAGATGAAGAGATAAAAAAAGTCCATCGATATTTTTTTATATTATAAAATATATACTATATTATTTATATATACCTACTATATTATTACTAATTAGAGAACAAAAACGAAAAATTCAAGAAGATAGAAGAGCATAAAAGGTTAGTATAATACTATAGGAATATAAGTAACGTTTCGTATTGTGCAATCAACAATTTTATAATTATACTTATTTATATTTATAAATAAATATCCTAAATAGCAAAAGATAAATTCATCGGACAATGTTTGTGAAATTTATTTTACTCTGTAGATCCAAGCATTTTCTCAAAGCCGTGCAGGACGAGCAAAACTCGACTGAAGCACGGAAACACTTGATTAAGGATACACACATTCGAGATCTTCCAAAGAGCTAGTGCATCTCTTATCACGAGAGATTACTCTGGACAGTGTACAACAATTTAAGTGGAGGGAACGAGGGCTGGAGAACGGACGTGCCCAGGTACTTCTGGCCGTCGCAAGCTGCTCTAATCGAGTCCCCCTGAATGTCCTGAAACCGCCAGTGTTTCTTCCGTCGAGCGATGCGAGAGTGAGAAAGAGAGTGTAGCCGAGGGAGGGTGGGATACGAGCGAGAGAAAAGGCGGCCAATCCAATTCCGCGCTCAAGCCCGACCGTCGTGATGGCGGAGGGTAGCGAAAAAACGCAGCCACGGCCGGGGCGCAAGGCGAGCGAGGTAGGTCTCCAGGCTTTTTTGCGTTTAATCAAGGATATTCGCGGTCGGCTGGCTCGCTATTTCAGTTCGCCGAGTGTTAACCGAGGCGCGCAACCACCACCGAGTATCATACCGCAGAAAGTGGATGAAGGAATCTTCGTCCTTTGACCTCCCAGAGACGCTCCCACAGTGCAATCGTCCGTAGCGGTCCTCGTTGTAAATTACAGCGCACATTCGTACCGTTGTTTTTGTTTATTGCAGTGTCATATTCTTCTTGCGACGATTAACCAGTATTCGGTAAATAGATCGATATACGAATTTTTATCAGAGAACAAAAGTGCGATAAGTAGAATAAAATGATAAAAGATGACATTACATATCATCATGAGATCTCAGGATTGTACGTTTTCATTTTATCAAAATATTATTTGATAAAAATAATTTATGAAACACCGGAATAGAATGATGTTTACGTCTACGTTTCACAACTGGCACTTATTGAACGGGATACATGGATCATAAATGAGTATTATGTCTCGATATAATGAATCGGAATCGGATTAATTCTGATCAACTAGATAAAGACCTCATGCCGCGAGGCCAAGGAATCATTTGATTCGTAGAATCTAATAAAATCGATTAGAGACGCGACACCCCTTTCACCGCCGTCATGATAGTCTAGACGTGATGTAGCAGGAGACGACAGCTCTAATTTCGTCCTTAAGCATCAAGTATCTCCGCTGTCACTCCTGTAAATTACTTCATCTCGATGACGCGTTGATCGTCGAAAACACCCTCTGAATTTCGAGAGGGTCACTTCGATGGGGGTCTTACATTCTTTCTACAAGGAAATATAGACTTTTATGCTCGCAGTGACTGCGCAACAATAATCGATATTTGAAGATGTGCGTGTGTTATGTATCCAGAAAATAATCATATTTTGTAAATAATAGAATCTTTAGATAAAAAATTAATAGAGATTATAAAATAGATAAAGATTTTTATTTTTAGCTTTATTCGCGATATATATATTTAAACGTATGTAATGTATCAGATTTAACTTAAAACACATCTCAAATGTACATATTATAGAATTAAAGATCGGTGATTACAAAACGAATTTTATTAATTAAATGTCACTCTATAAATATAACCGGAAACACTGCAAGTGGCGATAATACCCGGATTCCGAGAGTATATCAATGCACGGATAATGGTACAAACGACAAAAGGGTTGCTCCTTTAGGAGTTAAAGCCGTGATAATCGTGGATGACGCTGGTCGAAACAATGCGCCCGGCATCCGTCGCCCCGGCAGGGCGTGAGTTTCGTCTACGGATTGGGAGAAAAGCGGGGCGATGTCAGAGTACGGTGATGTATGGCTGAAGCGAGCTCGGGAAATACCACGTGCCCCGCCACCTAGTACACAGCAGCCCTTAAGGATTAGGGTGGCGACCTACTATATTCTCCAACGCACAGAGTATCGTGATGCAATTGGATTCCTTCGGCCATCAGCACCCTCTCTCTTTCACCCACCCTTAGATTCATCGTCATCCCTTTAACTGCTCATCATTGCTTTCATGGAATTTTTTCTATTGAAAACTTGCAAAAAGATATACTTAATTGAGATTCGCAAAATATGACAATTTGCAATATTTATGATGAATAGTCCAAATAAATATCATAAACATAAATATAATAATTAATTCTAATAATTTAATTATTAAAATTAATTTGGAATCCAACTTTCATTTAAAACAGAACATATTTAACGCGACAATATAATTATTAATAAAATTATAATAAATAAAATTTTAATAAAATTTGTATAAAATATAAATGTTCATAATTTATGAATATTTAAAGGGACCGTGTAGATTTCTATCAAGCAATGTTGAGCAATGTCTTGAGACAGAAAATAAGCATTCAATTCTGCAAACAAGAATATAGTATCATTTATCGGTAACACTGACTACTTTCTTATCAGCTTCATTTGAGAACATTCAATCTCTTCAATTCACCGTAGCGCTGCAAGAAACGCATTCGATCAATCAGGGTTAGAGGTCAGCTTTGTGCAGCAAACTATGACGAGTGAAAATTCTGTGATATATATTTATATGATTTTAGTTTATTTATTATTGTATAATGAAGCAAAATCACATCATGCTGTCGTCATTATTCATGGGGTTCTCACTGGAAGCGATAGCATGGAACTTATTAGCAATAGAATTCAGGAGGTAAGCAGGATGGTATGGCAGAACAACAGGACTGTTTACACTTTGCAGTTATCGCAACACCATTGTTTCACTGTGCAAATATGGATGGATTGATTTTGTTACTTTACATTTTTTTCATAAATTATTTTTTATAACTAATTTATAAATTACTTTTACATTTTTACATAAATTACTTCACTTTCTATACTGATGAATGTAATATACTTTATTGTATTATCATTTATAAATAAAAAGATTTTATTATAGTGTGACCATTTTCATTTTTGAAATGTTTTATGCAGTTTCATGCATACTATCAATTGTTTTTACGTTAAAAGCTAATAGCTTTTGTAAAAAAAAATTATGTAACTCATAAATTAGTTTAAAATAGTTAATCTCTCTTTAAATATATTTGATATATATATATATATGTATACATATATATATATCAAATATATTTAAATACATATATTTTCACAGATGCATCCTGATACTCCAGTCTACAACACTGTTAGGTTTGCAGGATGGAGTAGCCTGGAACCAATGTGGCAACAGGTAGAGGAAATAGGCATGGATGTACTTTCTATAGGTGCCGCATTTCCTGAAGGGATTAATTTAATAGGTTACAGCCAAGGTGGTTTATTAGCTAGAGCCATATTGCAAAGATTTCCCATGCATAATGTCAGAAATTTTATTTCCCTGAGCTCACCGCAAGCAGGGCAATACGGAAGTAAGTAAAATTGTAATATCCAAATAGAGAAGAAAGCAAGAGGATTTTCATTTCAATCATAAAATTCTGATTTCAGCACGTTTTCTACATTTGATTTTCCCAGACTTAGTTTGTGAAACCGCTTATGAACTTTTTTATTCACGACTTGGACAGCACACCAGTATCGGAAATTACTGGAACGATCCTCATCACCAAGTAATTATTCTAATTTTAATTTATATATTATATACTAAGTATATTTATGTATATCATGTAGTCTAATATACATTAATTATTTTTTTCAGGAATTGTATTATAAATATAGCAAGTTTCTACCATATGTGAACAATGAAATCGACGTTTTCAATAATTCCGACTATAAAACGGGCTTAACCAAACTGAAACGTATGATACTTATTGGAGGACCAAACGATGGCGTTATCACTCCATGGCAAAGCAGTCATTTTGGATATTACGATAATAACAACACTGTGATAGACATGCATGATAGAGATATTTATAAAGATGACACGATTGGTTTGAAAACGTTAGATAAACAGAGCAAGTTGAAGATTATCACAGTACCTGGAATTCCCCATTCTGAATGGCATAAAAATATTTCTATAGTAGATCAATTTTTGTTACCGTATTTAGATTAAACGTAATATAAATAAAATAAGATCAAAATTTGCCAAATGTAATAGAAGAACTAAGGAATATATTATTCGAGTGGACGATTTTTTTTCCATGCGATATTGTGTGGTTGATTTTATATGTGAGTGAAGCTTCACTCATTTTTTTATGTGTAACAAATTTAAACAATTATAAATCTACTTTTATTATATTTTGTCCCTCGCATTTTATATTAAAATAGATTCATATAAATTTAAGATATAAGTGATATGATATCTGTGTGTGCACGTGTGCTTGTAAATAGTAATAAGAAATTATACGTATGCATGCATATATCATATACCATTGGAAAATTTAATGTGTTAAATTTAACATATTTCATGTGTTCCAAACGGTCTAAATTTAATTAATTTAATTTATCTTTAAATTTTGATTAATTTAACAAGATGAATGTGTTAGAAAATAACACTATAAATATTATATTTATAATGTTAATTTTATAAAAAGTTAACACAAAAAATAATACTGACACAATTCGTAAGTAAACTGTGAAAGTATATTTTTTTCAATAAAACTAACATTTACATCTTAAATTAACATTCAAATATATTAAGAATCCAACAAAATTTTTATAAGGATTGAGTGGACCATTTCTAACACAAATACAAAATTTTTTTACTCTATAAATATATAATTTAAATAATGTATTATACTAGATCTGCATCTTTTACTTTTTTCGTGATTGAATATCTGAAGCGTTTAAAAAAAAATTATGTATTATAAATCTAATTGTAAATTAATATTTCAAATGGCTTATAATGTAAGTCAATAGGAAAATTTGTATATGGATAATTCTTATTTATGAATAAATTTATTAATTTTTCTATTACAAAATTATCATTATATTACTATTGTGTTCATTTTTTGTCATGAATGCTCCTCAGAGTATTTTAAGTATTTTTGGCATCTTAAGTATTGCCCTGTATTATTAAACGTTTACATATTTTGATTTTTTACATATATTGATATATATCTATTTATATTAATAGAAATTCTTAAGATACAAAATTCAAAACTTTTATCACATTCAATGTAATAATTCGCATAATTATTTAGAACTTTTTATTATGCGTGAAACGAGTGATAAGATCTAGTGCCCATTTCGGTTGATCCGAAGGAACCATGTGACCTGCATTTCGTACAAGAACTTCTGTTAAATTGTCAACAGTCTTCGTATAGCCCGCTATTTTGTTTCCAACCATCCATATTTTTCTCGGCGCTTTCACATATTTGTCTGCTCCGGACCACTTTAAATTTTTTAAGTAATTCTCCGTGAGTGGATATGCTACGATAATATCCAATTGTCCATTGTAAATGAGCACTCTATAATGTTGCAGAAGATCCGTCAAGAAAAATACCACGGATTGCATAACGTCTCCTTTCAAATGTTCCTCGACAGTTTTCGTTTCAACGTGAAAAGTGCTATTGCCCACGTGTACAGCACGTCTAACGTCAGCTCTTTGAATCCACTCGGACATCCAATCGGAATCGTTGCCCCCATTCGCATACAAATAATTGTAATAATAGTCGAATCCAGTTAGATTTCTAAATAGGGACGGCGTGCCGTTTAGATCGCCGTTAAGGAGTGCATCAAATATTTCAAATGCCTCGAGATATTTCTTCTGCTCAATAAATTCACGGCCCTTTTTCTCGTATATTTGGAACTGAATTTTTCCATTTTCATCTATCAGTCCGAGTTGATACAAATAGTCGCTGTACAGCAATTGATTCTCTGGATCACACAATCCGTTACCGATGGCTAGGCCTCTTAAGTTAATTTTTGTTACTGCTTTGATGTTGTAATCTTTAATGGCATGAGACACTGCTGGCACATATTTCCCAGCATACGATTCACCAGTGACGAAGAAATCATTATTTTGTAGCTCTGGGAATAGCAAAAAGAACTGTACCAGTGCGGTATGAATATCTCTTCCTACTTGCGTTTCATTCGTGGCATATCCCTTATCATTATCAGTAAAACTGTAGCCAGTGCCAACTGGATTATCAATGTATATCAAGTTGTGTGCTATATTCCATGAGTATTTTCGCATTGCTAGAGTCTTGTTGGCTGTCACTATAAATGGGCCATTTTCCATAAAAAGGCCAAACATGGAAGTTGCTCCTGGACCACCTTGCAGCCACAATATTACTGGCGCAGTCTTTGGATTGTGCTATGGCACACAAATAATGATTTCTTAATAACTAATCTTATTGCAAATAAATTTAATCTGTGTATTAATGGAGTCAAGCTAATATGTATAATTCATATAATTTTTAATGCCGCAACAATTTTTTTAACAGCTGATTATATAACAAATTTTTGTTAAATTTGATTTACGTGTGTATAGTTCACAAATACTCATGTAATTATATGACTTATGTAATCATTTTTTAAAAGCGTAATTTTTACAAACACTCATGTAATTACATGACTTATGTAATCATATGAATTATGAATATAAGTATTTGTAAAAAATATGCTTCGAAAAATCAAATAAAATTTAAAATAAATACAAAAATTTGTTATATATATATATAACCAGCTGTTCAAAAAATTTCTCATGACAATTATCCTAGTAAATAAACTATCAGTAATATGATAGCAAATTGATATCAATTGTATCTGCATTATGCATGTGTTTTGTCAACAGAACTCGACATAACCTGATAGCAAATATCAAAAATCGAGCCAAATCTGTCGAACGCATATTGTTATATCTATATACAGTTCTATCGATAAAATTTGTAGTAGGCACTTTGCAAAATCTGTTCTCGACAGGGCTTTTGGCTGTCTAGAGAGGTTAATTCTTATCAATTACTTCTATTTATAGGTGCCAGGAATTGTTAGTCATTACTTACCATGGCTGGAAAGAACCAGAAGAAAAGATTAGAATTGTACTCTTTATTAACTGTCAGATAACCTGAATAACTGCTAATATCGCCCATCTCTTTGTGTTGAACGACAGCCTTCGCACGCGCCTCGTCAATTTTTCCATTTTCTATCAGAGGCGTCAAGAAAAGCGGCACACCAACATCCTCCTTATCGGTGAGTTGAAACGGCTTCAATTTCGGATATACGTTCAAAAATCCACTCGCACTTTTGTGCGGTAATGCGAGCAATAACGTGCTCAAAGTTAGCACGAAAACGTTATTCATGTCGCTAGCTGAAAGTCACAAACGATACTGAGGCGCCGACTCTGCGTTGTTGTCAGCTGTACCGCCTCAGCCTGTACCGAATACTGAACTCAACAAGTGCGTCTAACTGTGATTTATATATTGACGTATTGATATCACAGTTTTCCTTTTGTCAATATTACGAATTAATAATATTAATAATACATGAGCAATAGGCTATAACACGTGACTATACCGAAACGTTAATTTATTTGTTAAATCACGAAATGGAAATTTCCATAAGAATTGACCCTCGTTGTTGTTTCGAATTTAATTGATAGAAGATCTAATCATTGTTTGTTTCACATTCTTTACCGCATATTTTTTTACTGATTACCGATAAAGTAATGAATTGTTCAAATTTAAATATGATAAATTATACAAATCTAAGAAATTCGTTAATTCGCGATTATATCTTTTAGCATATATGAACGATAATAAAAATTTAATAACTTTATTTAATAACTTTAAGAATTGAGTGGTAAAAGGTTAAAATAATGATGAAATATGATATGCTTGTTTCACATACAAATGATGATGTTTTATAAGGCAAAAGAGAAGCAACGTTTTTTAGCCAATCAATTTATTGTTTCGTCGGAAGTAATGTTATATATAGAAGATAATTGGTTAATTCATTTCTTATGCAGAGCTATAAAGCGTGACGCATATATGCCGCTTGATGCTCCGGCCGCTCCTACGATCAGCTGATCAACCTAACCTAACTGCAACCGACACTAACCGACGTTCCCAGTTCTCGCATTTGAGTCGCGTCGGCGATCACGGCAAGGTTAGCACGCCGTTTACTAGGTATGTATATATGCTAACTATACTATTAATTCCGGTTCTACTTGAGTAGCTATAATTGTGCGTCGTAAATTCTTCGATGTCTGTTCATCGGATTTGATGTAATATTAATAATTTAATGCCATAATTTTATCATAATATAATAACAACAATCGTACCGAATTTCTTGGTTATTAATGCGTTAAATTGTACAACGATCGAGAGTTTCTAGTTATTAAATGTGAAAAAAATGTCAAAAAATATTGTTATTTTTTTTTTGCCTTGCAGTTGCTGTGATATGTCTATTGTGGACATCAAACCAGATATTTGTGTACGTCTATATACGAAATATTCAAGATGAATGACTCCTTCTTGGAAGAGCTAGAATTAATACCAAAAGAATCCAAGAAAACATCTCAGCAACTTGATCGCCACATAACCACCAGGCATGCTACTTCGTCTCCGTTACTTCACTTCTCGGAACAAGATGAGAGAGACAACGTTACGCGACAAAGGGAACATTTCACGATATTCCCAGGTACGCCTGATATAAAGATTATAGATAATAAAGAGCCTTTTTTGAAAAATTCCAAAAAACATTCTGATCAAAATGTGAGAAAACATTCTGCGAATGTAAAAATGTCAGAGAAAGCTGAGAAGACCTCAGACAGCAAAGGGAAGCCTGTAGATATGAAAATAAAAATGGGTAATAATAATCGGCAGAGTGTCAGCGGAGAACACAAAATAAAACTGCATGAAACTAAGTATCCTAAGACATCTGAAAACATAGATCGTAAACGACGTTCAGGATCACTTAAAGAAGCCGCTTATTCGACAAGTATTTCTTCTAAGGAGAACAGACGTTCTCTCGATTCTTCTAATAATAATTCCTCGGATACCTCCAGTAAGGAAAACAGTCGTCCGTCAGATTCTTCCAAAGAGGCTGGTTCTCACAATCCAACTAAAGAGAAGGATAAGTTGGCCGATAAATCGAGGAAATCAGGTTTTAAAGTACAGGATCAAGATCCAGTTGTTTTACTTACTGCTATCAAAGAATTGATAAGCTCATACACCAAGCAGGAGAGCACAAAAATTCTACGCGCTATGCAGGAGCTACATATTAATTCTCAAGCTACCTTGATAAAAAATCTTTTGAGTCAGACGGATGAGTTGATTAAAGAAATGCATCCCAGCAAAGATTCGGCTAAAATGAGAGCATTGATTGAGGAGAATGAGCAATTGCACCAGGAGTTGATGGCCTTACGAATGCGAAACGAAAATCTGCAGAATAAATTAGAGGAACTTGAATTTTTGAAGCAAGAAAATGCGAGCTTGAAATCAAAGTATAACGAGCTAACTCAGACATAATATCAAACAACTGCGTTAAATTGGACCACAAAATCTTTTTATATTATTTTCGTTTTTTTGCACAAAGTGCTAATCAGGACGTTTACGATACATTTTAGTTGCTTGACATTTAAAAAAAACGTATTATATATTGCAAGATTGAAAAAATATTTCTCGCGCGAAAGTTGTCATAAGAGATTACTAAACTATTAATATTTGCATTTATTTTTGTCTAATGCCATGATAATATAATATAATCTAGTATAAAGATCACATTTAAGTATTGATTATACATATAGTAAAGTAAGCGTTTTGACTTATTAAAATTTAATATCGATGACATTAAAATCATTAAAATAATTTATTTTTTTACAAAAAATGTTAGACTACAGTAGTTTTTAGATATATGCGCGCAACTATTTTAAGAGTTTTCTATAATAAAAGTTTTGTAATATTTAATAAATGAGTATATTAACTTATATCATTTTTATAATGTCTCAAGTTCCGTAGTCCCTCGTATTAAAAAATTGGATTTAATTTTGATTTTTACTGAAATATTTACACGATAAGTTAAATTCTAAATTTAACGAAATGTAACGATTTACCAAAAATAAAAATATATTTTAATGAAATACTAACAAATTCTTAGGATTTTAAAAGTCATCTTCAGAAAAAGGTACATGTGTTTGAAAATAATGTCTTAAGAGATCGCATCAATGAGCTGTTATATTTTCATAATCCACATTATTTATATACAATATAAACATTCTCTTGCGATACATTTCTCATTAATTAAATACTTAAGGTGTAGACCTCTTTGGCAAATTAGCCAAATTGCAAGGTTGTAACCATTCGTAACTAAAAATACGTATAAAAATGACTGAGAAACCATATATCGTGTCGATTGAATACACAATCTATATCTACATCTTACAAATATAATTTTACTTTAAAGTCTTAAATGCACAATCTAGAAACATACACATTTTTCATAAATTACACTAAGCACACAACTTTGACGATAAAAGCATTTTAAAAAAATAATGGTCCATTGATAGATAAATACGTTTTTAAAAATTTATGTCCGCATTGATATTTTACAAATACTTTCTGAAAAAAAATTTTAATGCACAATTAAATACTCATTAATTAATTTATTTATTAGCAAAATTTGTAGTTAACAAATACAAATAGACTACAACATCTGTTTGAAAAACAAATTTTGCAAAATGTTTGCCATAAATTTTGTCGGCAAAATGCCGCGTAATTATAAAGGAGTTTTTTAGTTGAATATTATAGAAGATTAACACATAAAAACCATTACGTCTATTATTTCGTAATTATTTTGATTACAAAATTCTTTAAGTTACGATATTTTTTTATTTCATGATTTCATTTGCATAATAATTATACATATATAAGATAATTGTATGTATGCATATACATGTGTATAATTTTGAACATATACAATATTGAAACAATACTTTATTAAAACTTTTTTATAAATAGAATCGTATTAAATTTTTGAATTCTCTATAAGACAAAAATTTTTTTTAATTAAAAAATATATACATGATATTATTATTTGCAAACTTTTTTTACCATATTATTTTCATTATTGAGACAAATTATTAAATTATATTACAATGACAAATATCTTTATACGCCTCTGTGAAAAATGTTTTACAGAACATATTTCACATATAATTCTAAATGTAATTCATATATATAATTATAAACATTTATCTATATAATTACGTATATAAATATATATAATTATAAATATGTATTTATAGAAAAATTTTTAATCAGAGTTTTTAAGATGATTGATAACATATTGATAAAAGTATCTATATCGCGGAACTTTGGTCGGGCAGTAGTGATTTTTCAGCAAAATCTATCAATTGAGCTTTCTTCGAATTTTTCCAAAAAGTTCAACAATTCCTCTCAATAAAGAATATCCATGAATACATCCATGTAAGAGAAATATGCGACATATATAAACAACATAAGTTCGTTATCGCATATCCAAAAATCATTTTTTAAGAAACGTTCAATTTCTTCATTTATTCTTTATTTAATCTTCGACTTGATATATCTTTTTATATTTTCTAATAATTTTGATAGTGATTTTAAAAACAATTTGCACTGTAAATATTGTCTTATTCATTCTGAAGGAAAAAATCTTGAAGAAATGTATTCAAGATTTCCTGTATTAATTACGTAGTATCTGGTGCGCACAGTGCGCATACAAAACATTAATTATTTAAGAACTTTTGTTATTTCCCACAATTCAATGACGATGAGACAATCTGCTTGGTTCTGCTTGTCTTCTTTCTTCATCTAGTATTTCTTCTGCTTCTTCATCTTGATCCTCGTTATCTGTTCGCTCTCCTTCTTCGGGCGGTCTCGTCCACCTAATGAAACGATTTTTTTGCAATTCGTATTTATTGAAAAATATGTTTTTACATATCTATTGCTTTCTGTCTTAACTTATATCTGTTCAGATCTGTACTTCATTTGTACACTGTTGTGTGTGTCTGTGTGTATACGTATATACATGTGTTTTTGTATAAGTATAATACGATCAAACAAAAATCATATGCGGCTATAACTGAAAAATAAAATTGTGTCTCATTGTTAATTGTCACTCTGCGCAATTATAAAGTTTTTGAATCAAAGTCTTTGTCATACAGCCTAGCACAATGATTTTTAGTATATCAAAATTGCAGAATTTTAATAATATCTATAATCTAAAAATAGCGTAAATAAATCTAACCTGATTAATGTTTCCGGTGATCTATAAAGGAAGATCAGTTTAGCAAACAAATCTTCTTCGAGGCATAAATCGCCGCTCTCGCGGACCAAGTAGATGTCTAAGCAGAGGCGAAGGATTCTGTCGACATAGGGTAAATCGTCGAACATAATCTTGGGCGCCATATCACTGACGATTTTCCGCATCATTTGACTTATGACAATCACCGCCGTGGTGTACAATCCTAGGATCCTGTTTGTGATTTGTAATTTTCAGTCAATGTATCATAATAACGATTCTATTATACATGAATTTATAAATCTTCGTAAAATTTTGCTATAAGAATGTCTATATGAACACATAAACTATTTTACTGTTAAATTTACCCAAATCCGCTGATAAAGCTTAAGCTCTCGGGGAATGCCTTGTCGTTGAACAGGAACATCATGGTATTGTTGCAATCGTTTAATGGTATCTTGCTCAAAAAATCTTTGTACAGTGAGCCCGTGCATTCCTCACGAACTATCCACCATTGTTTACGATCACAACATTCCTTGTCTGTTGATAATTGGACACTCATGTTTCGATAAAGGTAGCTTTCCTCGTCAGATTTATCTAACGAAGCGAAATGTAGCGGTTCCATTAGCTGCCACGGAACACGGGTGGTCTTAGAGGTGACTTTGAGGAATTTCGGAAAGGCGCTTTTCAATATTATTGTCGCATTCGTTGCACTTGGATCCTCGCTTAACATATCCACTAATGTCTGTCTTATAGGATTGAACTTTCCGTCCACATACGGAAACAATTTTACGTCACGAACCGTCGTAGTGACTCCACTGGCATCCTTGAGGTCTGTTTTTCTTGAAACTGTCCATTCCACGTGTACAGTTACGTTCGTATTATTAGAGGCTAATTCTATCTTCAATCTAAAACAGGCGATCATGATATAAATTTTTTTTTTCAAATGTTTAGGTATCATGAGATTATTAATATCGTCACAACATTATTAATTCTTTTTAAAAAAAGTAGTGCCTGTATCATGCTTTTCTATTAATTTTTTATTAAACGATTAGGTTTTATTAGTTAGATATATTTTTAGATTTTAAGTTAATGTTAGAAGCAATAATCTGTTTCTTATATATAGGACAAACCTTTCTTTATCAGGCGGCGAAATATCCCAACGTGTTCCCGAGAAAGTACTGAATTTAACTGCAGCCACGTCAGAATAAACGTAATTTTCGAAGAAGGTAACAGCCGACTTGTCCGTTGAGTATATATTGGTAAGTTTTTTGTATTGCGCTTCTGAATATTTGATAATAGAACTGTCGCCTTGCGCTGACATGGAATAGATTGGTTCGTATGGACCGATTCGTATTTTCATGGATACATCGTAAGGCAAGTTGGATGTGCCAACGGTGCTACCAAGGGCAAATAAAAGTAGAGGGAACCAGATTAAGCCAATTATGAGCAAGAGGACACTCCCGCCTACCAAGTACTTGCTCATTTGCTTTTTCTTTACTCCTCGTGGTTGGGGGAAGTCTGATTCGACTCCTCGCATACACTAAAATTTTATAGAATACGTTACAGTATTACATATTTAAAGCATATTTTATATAATTTAATATTTCTATACCGAGAGAATTTAATTACATATACCTTTTCATATAAATATTATATGAAAACTTTTGATAAAAATTTTTGCCTTAATAGAATTGAAAAGGAAAATATCGTTAATTCCAAAAGCGTTATGTATTTCCTACAAAACTTACTTTGATTTGATAAATGCTGGCAAAGACATCTTCCATTTTAAACCAGTCCATTACAGTCATGGACGTATCAGTCCAAATCCAATCCATCACTGCCCGAAGTTCAAACAGGAACGGAACTAACATAAATCTAATAAAATAACTTTATTAGGTCAGTATAATAAAAATAATAGCAACACATTTGATAAATATTTTACTAACCCTTTAAATAGGACGTAATTCACAATGCTGTACTTTTTGCATAAAAAATTACCGAGTATTCGAGTCGGATATCCTTGTCGCAATTGATAAGCCGCTAACAAAAGATAGAAGCATTTCACCATATACCAGATTTGTGGCGGAAGATTATCGTTGAATTGTCTGTAATTGTAAATATGCTGTAAATAATGTAACTGTTAAATAGAAAAAATAATACGATATCTTACCTGTCTGTTACGCTTGGTAAAATAAAGAACATCCACAGATGGACACCGAATACTAAGCAATATTGGAAAATTAACTTCCCCACAATAGATTTTCTGAGAAATAGTGCTCTATCGATAACAATTAGAGCAAATTGTAATAATAACATTAATAAGAAAGGCATAGGCACTCGATTTTCTTGGAAATAAGCTGTTACTCCACCATCGCCTTGTTGAGTCTAAAATTAAAGAATATATAACATTAATATTATTATTTATGTAAATATTAACAATTTTGTAAAGAGAGAGCTTCCTTCCCCTTCTCTTCAGGTACTTACTCCAAATGCAGAAAACCCGAAGATAAGCAATAAGAAATTAAAGAAGTCACAAAGAAACATATAGGCGTAAACATTCGTTTTTTCTTTGCCGGCTGGATCAATAATTCTCTTAAAGAAGTTTTTCATTGGTTTAGCGTGTTTAGTAATTCTGCAAAATTCAAAAATATAATTGGATTTAATGAAATAAAGAATAATTTAAGAATATATTAAAATTTATTTTAAAAAGATAATTGTATTTCTTCTTTGTGATCTATTATATATAAAATATTAAAAATAAATACGAAATTTTTTCTTTGAAATTAATAATGTTTACACAAAACATATTTAAATAAAATAATTATTTACGCTGTATGAAACGTTTTAGAAAGCGCTGTATGAGGATGCTCTTCTCCTTGTATAATTTCCTTGTTCTCATCTGTCATAGGCGGAACATTATCTGTATCATCTGCTACATGGTGGTTCGAAGATTGTTTTTGAGATTCTTTTATCTCTACATGAGAACTGTAGCACATTAAAAAATGTAATTTATTTATTGATCAAAATTTTAGATTTAAAAGTTATAAAAAAAATTTTTAACACAAAGATTTCAACATACTCGCTTTCTTCCTGTATGCCGACTTCTTGTTCTTTGTCTGAAGATGGTGGCTTTAACGGCACTACAGGTAATTGAGAAGGAACAATTTTTCGTGGTTTTAGAGTGGACGTAGTTGTCCATTGACCCAAGGATTTTAGCATAAATCTATAGATCAATCATAAGGCATTATTCTTTATAAAATATTTTTGTATGTACCTTTATCATTATTATTTTTTTTTAAATTCATACCTATGGAAGAATAATATGAGGAGCAATAATAAATCCCATAGAGCGTAATTAGAATTTTTTATAACACCAAAAATCCTCGGTAAGTATAGTGGATAGTTTGGTGGGGCCTTTCGATTCCAAGAAATGAATTCCAGTTGGAATATACATTTTATTATGACAATGGCCTAAAAATTACGATCTTTACATCGGAATTCTGCATATATTTATATTTAGACGTAAATTACGGAATATGTTTCTTACCTCGATATATGCGATCATTGTCACCCAGAAATTTTTGGAGGGTCGCGGGATCGTCAAGGAACCCCATAAGAATACCATAAGCGGCAATGGTGTCGAGAGTACAGACGCATTCTTAATTTGATGAAGAAATACCATAAAGTAACAAAGTAAACTGGAATGCGCCAAAATTGCAAACCAGATAGACGCTGCCAGCTGTATAATGGGCGGTTGATCCACTTCTGAGAGTTCCCCAATTTCTTCGTCTTGCTGAACTGCCAAGACGTGCGAGAAAAGTGTGCTGCGTATAGAAAATTTTCGAGTTAATTACATTTCGTAGTCTAAATAAATTATCCAACACAAATTAAAAAATATAGAAGAAAGATGATTAATTACGCATAACAAATAAAAATTATTTGAAATAGAAAGATTCTTAATATAAAAGGAATACAAATGATAAATGAAAAATAAATGTAGATATATAAAATCGTCACATTTAAGAAGTTTATAAAAATTATTTTAGAGAAATAATTTTTGTATTGTGCACACGCATGAATAGTTTCATACGTCAAAATTTAATAGCGTGTATAACGAATAGCAAGACGCATCTTTCTTCTTACAAAAGAAATTGATATTAAAAATACATTTAAAGCCCAATTCAGGAACTGTGAGGAAAATTGAACACCTGAAAATAGAGCTGAAGACATTCGACAACATTAATGTGATCGCCACAATGGACGTCGTTCACTGTAAGCTAATTTTTTTTATCATTGCTCTCTTCGTGTCAGGAAGCGATCCTTTTTGCCACAAAATTCAGGTGGCAGACAATTGAACATATAAAAGGATCTTAACTGACGTGCCGCATGCGAGGAGAGTCGTGCGAATAGTGCATTTATAAAGTAGTAAAAAGGCCGAACACATTGAGATGCCTGAATTTTACGATACACTTTCGATACCTGGAGGAGGACATGTCCAATCCTCGCTCCAAACTCGGCGCCAGAATTCGGATGTGCGGCACTGCCAGTGAGCTCTCCTTCCTAACACAAACAACACCACGCTCTTTCTACGTTTACTTCGTACAAGTATATTACGAGGGTAAAAATAATTCTAGTCAAGATCTTAAAACATTATATTATTAATTCTTCTTTGTGATTAATTATCACAGAAAAGAAAAAAATAATACTAAATTTTAAGAAAAAAAAGAATATGTTAAATAAAATTATAAAAAAAATAAATAGTAAAAGAAATATATTACATCAGGATTTTACATCAAGAGATCTATTTGTAATATGAAAATTCGTTCTAGATAGCATAGAGACTTTAAAAAGAATTCAATCATATGTCAATTCTGAGTTCATTTTCAGATGCAAATAAATTCTTTTTTTTAGAAGTTTTGCACCTGAAAATAAACTCAGAATTCATGACATATGACTAAATGTATGAATGAATTCTTTTTGAACATGTGCTATATCATGTGCTATATGTGTTATCTTTTTGTTTTAGTATGTCACGAACGTAGGACGTTAGTTAATCCATTAATCATAAAACGCTTTTTATACCATGTAGATAACATGCTGTCATTCCAAAGGACATCATGATTTTAGTTATATAATTTTTCCAACAAGGCTTTAGATCTTTTCAAGGCTTTATAGATCATTATCGTAAATTATAGATTATTTATAGATACCTAAAGTTCAAACATAAGAGCATGTCAAATATAATACAATATCTTTTAAGTGTTTCTACAATTTTGCCTAATATTGATTTTTGAACAAATTTAAATTTATTTTTAATAAAAATAAAAAAGTTCATAATTTACAAAGTAGCAAAAGTCAAAACATAAAATTAAATTTTATTTTAACAATTATTGTAATGTATAATTTAGATATTCTTTATTCCTCTCGCTAATTAAAGTTAAACTAATAACAAAAAGACATAAATATTCCTAATACCTATTTAATAAATTATTTGTATAAATAATAAAAAATATTTTAGATAAAATTTAAAAAGCAAGAACGGTGATTTATCATAGCTTACTATTACTATGCCAAGAACAAACAAATAATATTAACAAAAAATTAATATCCACCATATCCAAAATTAGTTACAATATCAATAATTATTATAAAGATAAAAATTTATATATAATGTTAGTTTGGCATAATAAGTGTACAAGGATCACTTTAGCTAGATGCACAATAAACTAGATACATGATACATTTGTTAAATACCTAAAGCATTTCACATGAAATAAAAGCCCTCACCTTTCGTCTTGTGGGTGCGATTGGCTCGGACCTTCTCCAGGATCATACTGCTCCTCCGTATCGCCGTTTGTAGCTGATCTGTTACAGCGAGCACATTTACTACTAGCATCTACATATTTTCATTTTAATTTAAAAACCACTTAAACCGTTTTTTGTATTTACACACGTTCTTTAAAAGATGTGTTTCAGATTTCTTAAGGATTTTTATCGGGATATCAAAGATGTACGAGTTAAAATGCTTTTGATACCAATTAATTTTGAAGTATGCTTTACAATAAAAATGTAATTCTTTATCGTAGTTTGTTAAATAATAAACGGATTATTACATAGAACAAGTGTAACCATAAAAATAAATAAAAATTATATTAAATTACCCAATAGTTGCATTGTTTATACATATGCGATATTTAAAAAATGAAAAGAATAGAACTAAAGTAAAAATGTATTTACAAGAGACCGGCATCTTATAATAGATGGTTGAACAAACATGTACGCAAAAATAGCACAGCACGAAATATAAATAATTTAAGCAACTACGTTATTGTATTTACAAGCTAATGTTTAAAAGCCGGAATATCACGAAGAATTAAATAATATTTCTATGACAGCATAATTTTACATATTTAAATAATAAGTAATATAAATTTTCCTTAAAAAAAAAGAATGAGAAGATAACCAATTTGGTTGGAGTTAATAGTAATGAATATACAATCCCCCACTTTAAATTTGTTAAATAAATATAATGCATTTTAGTGTTATGACTATATAAAGAATTTAGATGAGAGCAAACTTACCGTTCCTGCATCAGAGGTATCGGCTGCCACATTTGATTAATTCCTAATCGCGTTCCCATTCTAAAATCTGGTTTTGCCTATATAATAATTGTTAATATTATAAAAAGATATTACCGTAATGCACTTGATTTGCAAATTAATTTTAATTTTTGAAAATAATTATTTATACCTTTAGGATCTTTTTTTCCTTCGCTAAAACCTTGCGGATATATCTGTAGTCGTGGGAGAATCGATTTAGATATCTCGTCATCGAAATCAGAGTGCTGTTAATCATCACCAAGAGAAACTTGAAATATGTAAAGAACGAGACTTTCTTCTGTTCTTCTTCCTTTTCGTCGCTCTTCTTAACTTCTAATTTCTTTTCTTCTTCCCCGTCCGATGGTTCCGGTGTTTTTGCCAAGTCAGTAGCTTCTTTCTCTTCCGTTTCCATTTCCACTGAAGTGAGACTCGTTCGATCGGGACCCTGATTAATTTTAATAATAAGTTTTGTATATTGACAGATATTGCTTGGTGCTCAAACCATTACCCTGTGCTTCAAAATAATCAATTTGAGAACAATGCGGAAGTGCGTACAAAGTGTATCGTACAATGCATCGAATAATTTTTTGTCTTTACAAAAATCTCGGACGAAATAAAGCAATTTTAAGCACTGTTTAAACTATTTCATCTAGTAATACTCGAATTGCAAAAATCTTATAATTTTGAACTTTCAATAATAATCCACACACATACACACACAATAAGTTTTTATCATGATTAAGATTTATATTTTTCAATTTCGATTGCTTAATATTTGTTGTATACTCTTACTGTACAATAAGCGTACAATAAGCAAGAAATAATTACAAGAGGACTACATGTAAAAAATATAAAATATCTTGATATACAATATACATATAAATGACGAAATACCTTGCCATTGCTCTGTGATTATACATATAAATTAATTAAAAATAAGTACAATGTTAATCAATGTGAAGACGATATAGAGGACAGCAAAAATTTGTTTCCAATACTGCTTCTACGAAGCTGAGAGTTTATGAGAGAAGAAGATATCATCGAGCACTAAAAGCGTTGTACAAAGAGTAATCCACTTGCCGCTTGTTATAAAACTCGCTGTTGTGACTGTTTTGTATTGTGTGTTACTATATTAACTCATATTTTACAAAAAGAAATAAATAAATAAAAAATCGCAAAGTTTTTTGTTAAAATATAATTAAATTGAATTATGAGTATCTTGCATTGAAAAGATCTAGAAAGAGAGATATCAGTATTAAAAAGAAAATAATATAGAAATGTTATTGTTAAAACCAAATAATTAAATCACAGCAAGTTAACGTAATTTGTGAAAGATTAAATTAATTGTAGAGTAAAATTGAGATGCACATAAAGTAGAACAGATTGCTTTATCGCGCAGACGAACGAAAAAGCAATAATACATTGGTACAAGAAGAATATACTGGCACAGAAGTGGTACAAAACGATCCATAGAAAGCAATATATAGCCAATAGTCGAATCTTATTTAGGAGATAGTCTACAGTTGATTTTTCCCAAACAGAGATTTAACAAAACAAAACAAAACAAAAAAAGAAATATTTCAGCGTTTGTAATCGAGGTAAATGCAAAATTAAATTAAATTTTGTAATGTTAATGTGACATCATTGTTATGTTTCATGTGTCTTTGTATAAGATATGGTATAAGATGGAATTATATATGTCTCCCCTAAAAAAGAGTCAACCGCATATTGCACCAACGGTGAGATCTGTCTTCTGTTCAGCAATTCTTGAAAGACAGTATTATATATACAAGGGTAAAAAGTGACAGTTATAGGCAGACGAAGCCTGCCTGCAGCGATCATGCAGCCTTTTAAAGGGAATCGGGATGTGTCTCACATCGGTGGCCATAGCAGTGTCGGTCTCGGAGCGAGCGCTCAGATAAGACATGGACGATTTCTTCCGTGTCAAAGGTACGCTTCTACGCCGGAGTCTCAGGGCGTCCTTTTCTGTCCCTCCGTACATGGCGACATGCGTCGCGATCTCAATGTCTGTCTTAATCAGCGTGTTCATCAACTGTAAGGAGACTTACGCGTCAGTTCCACCGATCGATTTCGTGCCATCGCTGTCGGCCCGGACGTATTGCGTGGTCCCTCCTCGAGGAGGAGAGTGAAAGAGAAAAGAGGAGGGCTGACAATGTATGAAGACTTACAGTGAAAGATTTAGAATGAAAGAAAGATTATGGGCAATGATGACACATACGAGAGAAGAGATTTTGGTTGCAATCATCACACGAAGAGATGCACCATTCAACTTTATAATGGTCCGTTCGAAGTACTTTTTCGAGAAAATTTTAAAATATCCTTTATTAAATTTATTACATTATTAATATAAAATTTTTATATGTACACACTTTTTTCAACAAACAGACAAATACAATAAATGTATTTATTTATGTTGGAATTAAATTTTATGATATTTAAAAAATGTTTTCAAGCAATTCGATGGACCATGATCTTAATTAAGAGATTAGTGAAACTTAACAAAAAATCCTTGTTCCATAAATCGACATTTCACAGCATAATCACTTAAGTTCAAACTGAAATCCTTGAAAAAAAATGGTTTTGACGTAGTTACATGTTTCTCTCAATTTTACCTACCTCTGAAACAGTCATTCTCCTTCCTTGTTTCTCTAGCTCACGACGGAGTTCTTTTTCCCTCTTTTCAATATCGCTATCAGGAATAAGATCAGTAACGTCATCGTCATCCATATCGTCGAACATGTAGTAGTCGCCCGATCTGATTGCTAATTGCAAAAAGAATTGTTAGTTATAAATTATAAATAAGTCATTACTTTTATTATATAAGCAAAAGCCATGCACAGGTGACGACGACATAATTAGAAAAGGATGCAAGGACGTTTGAGCACAATATTCTAATTTTGAAATAATCTATTAAATTTCTAGCTATTAAATAAAAATGCACAAATATACATGAAAATGCCAATAGATTAACTATGTAATTTATGAACACGTTAGCTACTTTGAACTGTACACATTACTAGTTTAATCTGTACTTTATATTTGACTGTACATTTTATATACAAATTATGGAATTAATCTAGGACTAGGATTGTTAGGGATAATGTTCAGCTGTAAAAAATGTACAATTACCCTCTCTGTTGTTCTGTGGCGTACGAATTCTGTACAATGGCCGTGTTCCTGGATATAATTCATCTAACAAAAAACACAAGAAATAAAATAAAGATATAGAAACAGAAAAAAAACAGCTATATTAATACAGAGCACATAAAATATATTGCAGTATGTCACATATGTGTTATATCGGAATTGAATCCTTCGATTCCGTGGTTGATTGAATTGCTGAGAAATATTAGTAAACATAAAACAGTCCTGTGTTTATAAAATTTCTAGACGTTTATGCACATTAAGAGTCTAATATTTAAAAATTGTAAGATAGTAACAGATATAGTAATTAATAATGATAAAAGAAATAAAAAATAATGAAATAATTGCGAAAAGATAAAAGAAAAATAATATAATAATATAAATTTTTAAGAAATAGAAACATATAAAGAGTTATTTAGATCGATCTTCACAGAAATATACATAAATAAGCAAGTATAAATATGAGCATTTATACACAAGGATGTAGCAAGAGATTCTTGAGCTAATTCTTAGCTCAATACATTTTTGTCATACAATATGTTCCGTTATCAAGGAAGAGACCTAGAAACCATTTTTAATAGGATGAGACGAAGATTAGATACGCTTTGAGGTGTTCCGCAGAAGATCTAGATGTGCAGGCGTAGAGAAGCGTATATACAGGTCACTGTAGCACACTGGCGACACGGATACTGTAGTCGATGAATAGTTTACACGTATGATGCGAGTGCGGGGAACGAGAGGCCGTCGAGATGATCGACTGGCGCGGATCACTGTTCATCCACGTCGACCAAACTGGCAAGCTGGATTGACGCCGATGCCTCATATTAGATGTTAGCGATCGATCGACTGATGTGCCCCGATTGTAAGGCGGGGGCGAGAACACCGGGAATGTCTCGTCCGGCGACGGTCCTCGAGGATTCAGCTCGCTACTGGGTGGTGAACCGAACGAGATACGCGTCGGCTCGAGGTAGCCCTCGAGGCTCACCGTCATGACGGCGGAATTCGGTGTCGGAGCCTGCAATAAGGACGCTGCCCGGGGTGTCAGTGGTGGTGGTTCGTCGTCGTCCTCATCCAGAGGCGTTTGATATCCTTGCGGGGGCGTGTGACCCGACGACACGCAAGAGCTCACGCTGGAGGTTCTCGCCAGCGGTGCTTGTCTTTCTTCTTTGACGCAAAGATATATAGTGGGCGTTATATCGCACGTAGTAGTGATACAGTAGTGGAACAGTGGAATGACGGTGTCGTCGAGAAGACGTCGAGAAATTATTGAGAATAATTCGTAAAAATATTCAATAATTAGAAGGCAAGTCAAAGATTTTTTTAAAAGAAAGTAACACTTGGTGCCTATAAATGAAGATACTTCTTGACTTAAAACAGTTGCTTATTAAACAAAAATTAAGTCTTCCTCAAAATCGCTTTGATAAAACGTATTTCTTTAAATGTTATATAAAATTATGTATTAAAAAAGGTAACTTACCGACTTTGTGAGCCTGGGGGTCTCTATAAGATGGTCCCTGTATTCTTTGCTGATTGGCCTTAATCTTGTCCATCTTGAACTTTAATTTTTCTAAAACGGTCTTCTCCACATTCTCTTGAATTTCTATACGCCTCTGATGCAGTTCTTCGAGCAATTCCGCACCGCGAGACGCTAGAATGCTCATGGCTTTCGTTTCGTCTACTATATGAAAGAAGTAGTAGCTCTTGAAGAGTCGTTTTTGTATCAGAAGGAAGGCAAAACACAATCCATCCCAAACCATGCCGATGTCTTCAGTAGTGACAGTACACTTGTCCGGGTCTAACACTATCTCTTTGGTACTCTCGCTCTTGAACTTGTTCAGACATACGATACTCAGTAGTTGCACCAACCAACAGGCTGAATGTTTGACCTAATGTTAAAAACAAATTAATAATTTATTTTTGTTCTTTTGCTTATTTATCTTCTTATAGTTTCATATACATATATAATGTATTCTAATTAAGTTATTTTTAATTTTCTAAATTATGTTTTTATGTAATTATTTTGAGTGAAATCTAAAATGGACAATATTATTTATTTAATTTAAAGAAATATTAAGTATAAACAAATCAAATTTTATATATGAATTAATAAACATTATTGAAAAAAGCTTACGTCTTTATCGAAGACACATCCCACACCTTGTAGAACAGCTTTTGAGAAAATCACAATGACACAATATCCGATCAGCATGTTCCACCATTTCAAGATAGTTCTCATTGGTCTTAAGTAAAAGCTACTTCCTTGCCAAAGGAATATAAATGCTCCTATAAGATAGCCGAGCGAAAAGAGATTCGTTCTTTTCGTTCCGGCCAGGAACATAATTGATAAGGTCACCCACATGAGACTCATCATGCTACCACGTTTGACTACATCCAGCCAGGAATGAATGTGCGACACGTAATCCTTTACAGGATTCACAAAATTTGGTTTTTCCATATCCTGGAAAACGGAATAATTGTGACCAGCCACAAAATTACTGCCAGATTGCAAATTTTGTTGTTCAATGTGGAAGACAAGACTCTGCCGTACGATCATCAGTAGTAAGATAAAGTCATCTGTATACAAAAAAAATATAATATTATGCAAAATCTTTCTGTTAATTTTGAGTTTTGTCAAACTTACAAATCAGTTTTCTAGAATTCGGTTGGAAATCCGGATCAGGCAGATACATCCATTCCTGCAAGTCTCTCATTATTTTAGATTCGTTCCAAGGATAATCTGAAACAAATCCGAAGAAAGTCATTTATGTATCGTTTGCTTCATTTAATCAAAGAATTCATTTGCCTAATGTATCACATTACCTATGCAAAGCCACGAAGGTGGAGCCACAACGATGGCGTATTGAATAGGTAGAACAATTATGGCGAAAGATCTAAAACAGGGCCAAATTCGTGCCACAGTTTTCCTCTTCAACGAAAAAAATAGTAGCAACCACATGCTGTACAAGACGGAGTAAAAGTCCAGTCTCGTGCCGATCAGCGTGACAATCGCCATGAGGCACATTTCGAGACCGAATTTGTAGAAACCGTAGTTGAACAGGAACTTTAAGCACTCCGGTATTCCTTTGTCAGCGTCCATTCTGGTGATGGTTGGGAACATTACTTGAGGAGTGTCCAATGATTCTCCTTTATTATGACGATAAAACCACTGACGGACTCTGATAATTTTCCTAAAAGTCGTCACAGTAACGATGCCGATGTAGCCTTTCAACAGGTCCGGCAGCATACCCGGATCTGCTTTCTTCATTCCAAACCATTCGGCTATATTGTATTCGGTATTGTTACTTGCATACTCATGATCCTCATCGGGCTTCTGAAATTATTTAAAGTAATGTATTTAATCGAAGAATTTAATTCTCAAGTTCTTTTTATCATAATAAAGGACGTGAGAGTTTTAACTTACAGTGCAGTTGACGTTCCAGTTTTTATGATTAATGTATTGAATTTGATACAACATTTTGGTGACCATGAGAAGCGATACTATAGCAGCCATCGCGTTAATTGATTTTATCTGTATGTTTCTTTCGAAATTGATTACTATGACCACGGCGGCGATGAAAAAGAAATTTATTGCGCACACCTAAACAGATATATATTTAATTGCATAGTTTTTTTCTTTTCTTTTATTTTATTTTTCAATTTCAATGCGTGAGAGGTAAATTACAATAATTTTGCTTACATCATTGATGCACAGAAGAACGAATGAAATGAAAACAATCTTCTGCATGTGTATTTCGAGGAAGAGCCAGGTGTAATTGTAAAAATTTACGAGATGCTTCGTCACTTTTCGTAACAGTGCAATTCTTTCTAATTTTGACATATCTGTAATTAATTTAAAAATATCTATTAATAATAATACTTTATTGAAATAATAAGATTTGGTTTACTAAAATAAATGAAATTTATGAAGAGCGTACGTTTTAATTGCTTCAGTGTGTATATCGTATGTTTCTCGTTCTCGGTGAGTGTAACATCAGTTGGTGAAGATACTGGAATATTTAAGCTAGGAGAATATCCTAGGCTGGCGCGTCTAAACGAGCTCTCAGGCCTAAAATTAGTGAAGA